ATATATATATATATATATATATATATATATATATATATATGTATATATATATCATATATATATATATATATATATATATATATATATATATATATACATATATATATATATATATATATATATATATATATATATATATATATATATATGTATATGAATATATATATATATATATATATATATATATATATATATATATATATATATATATATATATATATATATATATATATATATATATATAGTAAAACTGGCAGTATCAGGGCCTTGAAAACTCGTAGCTTGGTCCTTCTGCACAGGTACCGGCATCTCCAAATACTCTTGTCGAGAGATTTCATGACCCCTGCTGCCAGGCCAATCCGTCTACTGACTTCCTGGTCTGACAGCCCAGAGTCATGAACTGCACTACCGTGGTATATAAAACTCCTTGTGACTTCGATGTTTTCACTGCAAGCACGTACCGACTGCACAGGGTCTCCTAGTAGGCCCCTTAAATCCTGGATCTTGGTCTTGGTCCAGGAGACCTCTAGCCCCAGGGGCTTCGCTTCATTGCTAAATGCATCAATAGCCGCCACTAGGGTTTCCAGAGATTCACAAAGAATAGCAACATCATCAGCAAAGTCAAGGTCTGTAACCTTGATATTGCCCAGAGTTGCTCCACAGTGACTTTGGACAGTAGCTCTACCCAGTATCCAATCCATGCAAATGTTGAAAAGTGTTGGTACAAGAACACAGCCTTGCCACACGCCTGAACTAACAGGAAAGAAGCTCGACAGGCCCCCACCACACTTTACAGCACTTTCAGTGCCTGTATACAGGTTTGCTATTAGCCCAACAATTCTTGTTGGAATTCCTCTCAGTCTCAGGATCTCCCAGAGTGATTCGCGATGCACCGTATCAAACGCCTTCTTGAGGTCGATGTAGGCTGCCAGCAGCCCACGTCCGAACTCACGACGGCGCTCTACAATGACTCGAAGCGCCAGGATGCGGTCTATTGTGGACTTACCAGGAGTGAACCCAGATTGCTCCGGTATTTGGTGCCTCAGGAGGTGGTCTCTGATACGTCTCAGTAAGATGTGGGCGAGTACCTTGCCTGGTACACTGAGCAGTGTAATGCCTCGGTGATTGCTGCAGTCCCACCGATCCCCTTTCCCCTTCCAGAGAGGGATGACCACACCCCTCAGCAGGTCAGGGGGAATGGTACCGGTCTGCCAGATGGCAGACAGGACTGCATGCAAGCCCCTTGCCATAGGTTCTCCACCAGCCTTAAGCAATTCAGCTGGGATGCCACAAACACCTACTGCTTTACCACTCTTCAGTTTGGAGATCGCCCCCTTGACTTCAGTCAGGGAGGGTGGATCCTCGCTGATGGGTGGGTCTGACAGAGGAGTCTCAACATTACCAGCATCCAAGTTAACTGTTGGTGGATCAACCTGATACAGCTGCTCAAAATACTCAGCCCAACGCACACGCACTCCATCAGGATCTGAGATTACCTGGCCACTTGCTGAGCGGACTGCCGTCGTCTGTGAGGAGGGCTTGGAGTTCAGCTTTCTCAGAGCTTGGTAGGCAGGACGAAGGTCATTTACTAGGAAATGGCTTTCGACCTCCTCTGCAAGATTACTGATAAACTGTTCCTTATCCCTTCTCAACAGTGACCTAGTCCTGCGCGCCAGAGAACGGTGCAAATTGCGATCCCCTGACAATCGAGCCGCACGACAAGCTTCTGTGGCTTCCAGTGTCTCCTGTGAGATGGAATTCTGTCTTGCTCTTGGGCGTTCACCAATGGATTCCTGAGCTGCATCACGCGTTTCACGCTTGAAGGAATCCCACAAAACAACAAGGTTTGTCAGGCCCTCGAGTGCTGTGAGACGACCAGAGATAGTCTCAGCAAACCCCCGGACACACTCATCCTCCCTCAGTCTGTCCAGATGACCACCCAGGGGTGTTCATTTGGTCGATGAGGGGTTCCAAAGTGGACCCGGAGAGTAGCCACAACTAATCTATGATCAGTTCCACAGAACTCGGCGCTTCGATACACCCTGCAGTTCTGGAGGATCCTCCACTGAGTGCTGACGAGGATGTGGTCGATCTCCTTGGCCACACTACCCATATCGCTGTACCAAGTCCAGTGGTGCAGGTCAGAACGCTGCTACCAGGAGCCAGGGATCCTCAATTTCTGGGACCTAGCAAAGTCACGGAAAAGGAGGCTATTCTCGCTGCCAGCATCAGCTCCTGAGCCATGGGGACCGACAGACATCTCGTAGCCAGCTCGATCACAGCCGGATACCGCATTGAAGTTGCCCAGAACAATATGAATATCTCGCCGAGGACAACTGTCTGCCACAGATAGTTTATATACATCCGTAGGAGCGTACACAGCAATAAGAGACATGAAGCCAAATGAAAGATTCAGTCTCAATACCATTATACGCTCATCGACTGGAGTGACCTCTATTACCGAGGGTTGAAGTCGGCTGGAGATGGCTATGGCTACTCCCTGGAGATGGTGGCCATTGCTGTGGCCCGACCAGTAGTAAGTGTAGCCACCTACACTAATCATGCCGCTGCCAGGTCTTCTCACCTCCGAGAGAGCAACCACCTCAACTCTCAGCCGCTTCAATTCCCTCGACAGTAGTGGTAACCGATCATCCTGTCGCAGGGAACGGACGTTCCAAGCCCCCACCCTGACAGCCCGCCTGAGGTCTAACCTCTGGCAGTCACTCCGGGTGGGCGTCACCTCTGCCACCCCTACCGACGCCGCCCCATACAGAGATTGGCTGGCTGCAGGCCCCATAATCCGCCTGCAAGGCTCCCAGGGGCTTTCCCCCACAAGCATCACGCCAGGCTGGGTAACACCCCTCCCCGCCCGAGTCCCAGCGGTCGCCAACCCAGAGGGACCCACAGCCTGCCATTCTTGCTGGGTGGGAGGGGCTTTAGCCCTCCCCCCAGCACCAACATACAGATAAATAATATATATATATATATATATATTATAGATATATGTACACATAAATATACATATAAGTATAAATTCATATGTTTATATATATATATATATATATATATATATATATATATATATATATATTATATATCTATAAATATATATATTATATATGATTATATGTATATATACATTTTATATATATGTAATTACATGTTTATATATATAAACACATACATACATATACACACACATATACATACATATGCACATACATATATGACATATGCCTATACATACATACATATGTATGTATATATATATATATATATATATATATATATATATATATATATATATATATATATATATATATATATTACTCTAGATTATAGAGGTATAACAACTAACTACTCATTAATATATTAAATATATATAAAATTATATACATACATACATACAGACATTATATATATATATATATATATATATATATATATATATATATATATATATATATATACATATACATATATAATATATTCATATATATAACATACATTATATATGTATATGAATATATATGTGTGTGTGTGTGTGTGTGTGTGTGTGTGTGTGTGTGTGTGTGTGTGTGTGTGTGTGTGTGTGTGTGTGTGTGTGTGTGTTTATGTGTGTGTATGTGTGTGTGTGTCTGTGTGTGTATGCATGCGTATGTGCACAGAAATTGCAATCTTGGTAGAAATAATGGAAAAATAGAAGGGGAATAAAAAAAAGCTTTTCTGCTTTGTTTTTAATTTCCTAAAATTCACATTCTTGCATTTGTTCTTAGACCTCTGAAGTTTATTTGTTAAAAATATAAAATATATTTTCTATAGAACTGATAAAAATTTTAACTTTAAAAAATCGAATGTCTCGGTATGTAGTTTATTATTAAGTTGAATTTCATCTTAGTTAAGCAATACAACTTCAGTCACTATTTAAAAAAAAAAATCTTGGAACTGTATATCTTCTTAAATACAATAATTATTTTGTGAAATACTGCAATAAGCAGCTATTAGTAAACTTAAATTGGTACATGAAGAAAATATTTTACAATTTTTTTTTTTTTATACTTCAAATACATAAAACTTCAGCACAAAAAAAGTAATAATAATAATAGAAAAAAAATAATAATAATAATAAAAAAAAAAAAGATAAACTACTCTTACTATTTAGTTAACAATCTGGAGCTTCATTCAAATGAATATAAAAAATAAGTAAACCTTTAACATGCCGTTCCATGTAGTCAGAAATACAGTGTCTTGACAACAGACAGTACACACAAACCTGTTTTTATGTATTAATGCCTGTATTCAGAACTGCAAACAAAAGTACAATGCATACATATTCACAGGTAATAAAAAATTCAAACGTACTTAATTGCATAATAAATTAATATACAGTTATTAAAGTGCTAAACAACAGCTGACCATCCATCAGTTGTAGATAAAGCACTAGTTACAAAGTCAGTACTTTAGTAGTAACTAATGGGAAAAAAAAAAAAAACATCTATTCTATACATAATCTGGTCCACAAAGTATTATGAAGCATGATCGGAATGGTGCCAATCAGTAAGTGATATCACACGGGCGTTTGACTGGGTGGATCCTCAACAGAACATATTTTGTTTTCACTTCAATAATTGCTGGCTGGATTCACTCACGGAAGATAGTCATACGATCATGACCTAATATGCCATTCCTTTCCACTTATGCTTTCACACGTGTTAATGGTTCAGTTTGTTTAGTGAGGACACATTTCTAAGTTCGCCACACTACTTATGTGAAACAGTCCCCAAGTCATAGCTAGTGTTGCATTTTCTCCTTTTTATTCAGAAGTGTTATGAGAGAAAAAGGAAACCGAAATCTTACAAGTTCAGACCCAGTTTTAGGAACAGCTTCTTGAGGTTTTTGCGGAAAGCAGTGGCATCTCCCTCGTATGCAAAATGTGACAATTCAAAATGATATTTTTCACTATTTCATGTTACAGGTAAGAACACATCTTTTCTTGGGGAAACTTTTTTTTTTTTTTAAATCACCTTCAACATCACCCTGGGATGTAGTACAGTAGGTAATGCCATAACAATAAATATGAACAGTATTTTATTATTATTATTACTACTATTCTTTAATATCTCTGGCCATGGCTGAAATTTCCGTTCTGTTGAGTGTTGTTGTAGCTCATCATCCCACCCTGTTGGACATGACCCGGATGTTGCTGCAAAAGAGAAAAGGCAAAGTTGAATGTGAGAAGTCAGACGAGAAAGACAAAGAAAACCTCAAAGACCAAACACGAAGACTTCAAAGAGAGAGAGAGAGAGAGGTGGGGAGTGAAAGGGAGGGAGAGAGAGAAGAGAGAGAAAAGGAGGAAGAGGTATATGTCAAAACATATACTGCACATTCACCTGACTAGGATGATTTCGCTGAATGTGAGAAAAATTCTGCTGGCCGCCCATACTGCCTTGGTGGTGGCCGAGTCTGACTCTCTTGGCCGCTGGTTCTCCTCCACCACCACCCTGTGGGAGAAACGTCTCTTATTAAAACAAACTATACAATGAAATAAAGAAAGAAAATGAGAGAGAGAGAGTGAGAAAGAGAGAGAGAGACAGAGAGAGAGAGAGACAAAGAAAGAGAGAGACAAAGAAAGAGAGAGAGTGAGAGAGGAGAGAGAGAGAGAGAGAGAGAGAGAGAGAGAGAGAGAGAGAGAGAGAGAGAGAGAGAGAGAGAGAGAGAGAGAGACAAAGAGAGAAAGTGAGAGAGAGACGAAGAGAGAAAGAGAGAGAGATACAAAGAGAGAGAGAGAGAGAGAGAGAGAGAGAGAGAGAGAGAGAGAGAGAGAGAGAGAGAGAGAGAGAAAGAAAGAAAGAAAGAGAGAGAGAGAAAGAGAGAGAGAAAGAAAGAGAGAGAGAGAGAGAGAGAGAGAGAGAGAGAGAGAGAGAGAGAGAGAGAGAGAGAGAGAGAGAGAGAGAGAGAGAGAGAAATAAAGAAAGAGAGAAAGAGAGAAAGAGAGAGAAAGAGAAATAAAGAGAAAAAGAGAGAGAGAGAGAGAGAATGAGTGAGAGAGAGAGAGACAATGAGTGAGAGAGAGAGAGACAATGAGTGAGAGAGAGAGAGACAAAGAGTGAGAGAGAGAGAGACAAAGAGAGAGAGAGAGAAAAAGAGAGAGAGAGAAAGAGACAGAGAGGAATGAACGAGAGATGAGGATGAAAATGAATGAATATTGTGTAATAATGGAAAAAAGAAAAGAAATGAAGAACCTGATGAATAAATAATGCCTGAAACTTTTTTTTTTCCCCTTACTTATATAAGATATATATATATTTTTTTCTGTTTTGTATCCTTAACTCTAATCAAACCAACAGACCTACTACCATAAAAAAAAAACACTTTGAACTTTATACTGCAGACTCTTAAAATATTTCTTTCACCTTTACTATAGACACAAATATCCACACATTAAAACAATATCAAAAGATCTAAAATCACATTAAAAAAAAACAACATACCTATAATGTTGCCTTAACCCATTCACGACGGGATGTCACGTATCTGTGACATGCCCACAGTCAGTTTACTTGTTTAAATGTTTTTACATAGAGGTGGCTACACTTGTACTATGTCACCAATGAGCCAGTTTCGAGTACTGCCTGTCTCACCCATTTACCCTTTTCTTTAATTTACGAAAATATATTACGTTATCTTATTTTGCTGTTACCAATGTTTATGACATTATAGTAATTATAATGTTTATAATAAAAATAACACCATTGATATTCATACCACTAGTAAAAAATAAATTTTCCCGCCAATTCCAGGATACGGGTGACTGGACTGTACTGTGAAATCAGGTAAGGCAGAGCCATCTATGTGTAGAGACATTTCACCAAAAATATAAAAATTGAGCACAGCATTTTCCCCATTTTTTGTTCATTTTCCCTGTCGCGAATCGGTTAAATTCTAGTCTATACAATAATCTTAGACACAATGTCTGAAATAGTTGTCGTGCTGCAGAGAATGAACTGTTTGGTTGTTTTACGCCATCAAAGAAGCAAAACCTGCTTTATATATCTAGAAATTGGGAAATAATGGAGAATAAAAATAGGGAGAGGGAGAAGGAGAGGGAGGGGAGGCGGGAAGGAGAGGGGGGGAGGGAGAGAGGGAAGGAAGGAAGGAGAGAGGGGGGAGGGGGGGGGCGAGAGAGAGAGAGAGAGAGAGAGAGAGAGAGAGAGAGAGAGAGAGAGAGAGAGAGAGAGAGAGAGAGAGAGAGAGAGAGAGAGGAGAGGGAGGGAGAGAGAGAGGTAGAAAGAAAGGGAGAAAGAAAGGGAGAGAGAGAGAGAGAGAGAGAGAGAGAGAGAGAGAGAGAGAGAGAGAGAGAGAGAGAGAGAGAGAGAGAGAGAGAGAGAGAGAGAGAGAGAGAGAGAGAGAGAGAGAGAGAGAGAGAGAGAGAGAGAGAGAGAGAGAGAGAGAGAGAGAGAGAGAAAAGAGAGAGAAAAGAGAGAGAAAAGAGAGAGAAAAGAGAGAGAAAAGAGAGAGAGAGAGAGAGAGAGAGAGAGAGAGAGAGAGAGAGAGAGAGAGAGAGAGAGAGAGAGAGAAAAGAGAGAAAAGAGAGAGAAGAGAGAGAGAAAAGAGAAAAGAGAGAGAAAAGAGAAGAGAGAGAGAAAAGAGAAGAGAGAGAGAAAAGAGAGAGAAAAGAGAAAAGAGAGAAAAGAGAAGAGAGAGAGAAAAGAGAAAAGAGAGAGAAAAGAGAGAAAAGAGAGAAAAGAGAGAAAAGAGAGAGAGAGAGAGAGAGAGAGAGAGAGAGAGAGAGAGAGAGAGAGAGAGAGAGAGAGAGAGAGAGAGAGAGAGAGAGAGAGAGAGAGAGAGAGAGGAGAGAGAGAGAGAGAGGGAGAGAGGGAGAGAGGGAGAGAGGGAGAAAGAGAGAGAGAGAGAGAGAGAGAGAGAGAGAGAGAGAGAGAGAGAGAGAGAGAGAGAGAGAGAGAGAGAGAGAGAGAGAGAGAGGTGGGGAGTGAAAGGGAGGGAGAGAGAGAAGAGAGAGAAAGGGAGGAAGAGGTAAAGAGCATTTACATGTTGGATCCCAGTGCCTTGCTGCTTGTACGTGGCTCAAAATCCAGCCATAAAGCTTACATGAGTGGCAACTCTCCTGGGTGGATGGCTTATGGGCCGGGCACTCCTGTGCTGTGTCAAGACTCCTTGTCTTCAATTTGCAATGTCATTATCTCCTTCTCTGGATATGAGTGTTTAGCTTCTTTGCAATTTGTTATTTGTATGCTATATCAAGATGGTAATAGACTATTTTCCTTACACAGGCTCCATAATATCTCTCTTGGTAGTCTACAACTCTGTGCAATCACAGTAAGTAGAATTTTGTTATTTGTGCCATTTTCAGTACATTATTATTAATTTACTTTTAACACAACCTGTGCCACCAGTAATGGCAGCCAGGAATAGAATCCTGAACATGGGAAGAGCTTCTCTCTGGAGCCAGCACTCTTTTAAGCTATGGCTTACAGACGGTACATTCCACATTCATTTATCGGTGGAAATAATGTACAAGCCGCCTCCTAAATGCCCAGTGAATCTAATCTTCCTCCAAGAGCTTTGTGTAGTCTTGGATAATCATTTCCGTAACCTTGGCCTTCAGCCAAAGTTTTCAGGATGGAACACTCCCATCACCTGGCCCAAGCCGAACCTTTTCATCCCATGACAGTCCAGTCACCTAGATCCAATGGGATAAGAGCACAAGAAAATAACAAGGAAGAAAAGAGAATATTCAACCTGGAGAGTTTTGACACTACAGCTCACTACAGCTTGTGATCATGTTAAACATACTTATGTTCAGGTATCTCTGCACACAGCTATTTGCAGTTATCAGTTAAGTGGTAGCCCCATCTGTACTATAGTACTAAATGATGAAGTAGTGACCTGATGAGTATTGGAAGTTTGTCTTAATGTATGACTATTTTAGGAGATATAATGCACAGAGTGTTACAGTTGCTTACAACACTAGAAGTAATTAGAAGCTTGCAAAATATGTCCATAATCATCCCACAAGAAAAGAAAATCCTTAAAGCTGTCTCCCATTTCAAGACGAAAGAATAAAACAAGAACATTACTCATTTCAAATAAGCAGGTTCAACCCTTATGGCTTCTAGCGGTGACTGAATGTGTGAAATTCAATCCAATGGGACTGGGTACATGCACTGGCAACTATGTTTTTGTTCTATCAGATGGCTTGACAAATGTTTAGCTGCCAGAGTGAATATCTAGGACAACTTGATTTCATGTATTTACTCCATTCATTTAACCCAATGGTGACTATACGCTCAGGCGAACCATGGCAGTGTGCCAACTTTGAGCGCGGGAGTTGGTACATCAGGCTGAATCACCAGCTCGCCACTGCGGCGTACAGCCGCACGCCACTTTTCGAGCGGTTTGTTTTAACACCTATCAGCGTCACCTGTCGTGAAGGGGTTAATTTCCAAGGCAAAAAAATACATATTGCTTTTACCATTATCATCATCATCATAATCATTATTATTACAATTATCTTTATAATGTTCACCACAATGATAGTTTTGATAAAACAGAAATTGAAGGAGTAAAATATACAGA